TCGCGAAGACGAACTGATTTGTAGTAAACCGCCAGTCGTACAGTAACTGTGTCTCTTAACTGTGAACTGATTCTGTAGGCGAAATCCCAGCGTCTAGATTCGGTTTAAGTGAATGGACCAGCGGGATCTCATTTGCATTCGGAACAGTAAAGTAAAGGTATCCCTGTAACAGGCCGTGGAGGCCCATAGGGTTGTGAGGCGTTGAGGTTCCTACATTATCTAGACGGTCGGCTCACAAATGGCGGTGAGGTTGTCAGGCTTACGCGCCGGCCGCTCTTCACCCCCAAGAATATACCTGGTACTCATTTCTGTTAGAGGCTGAGTCGATCCCCAGGGCCACAGTGCGGCTGGAGGATTGTGTCAATTGAAAGAAATCAAATGACCTCATCGGGACTTGAACCGGCGACCTTCCGGCTTTTGGCATAGTGCCTCAACCAACTACGCTACCACGTGCCCCCTGCATTCGGAACAGTCCACAGAAAATTATCCCAGAGCGTATCCTTTGAACAGGGTATGTACTTGTTTTCTTGTCTCTTGAGACTCTGTAAGTACGTTCAAGCACGCTTCCTATACAATTCTCGTTAATTCAGCCATACATATTGCAGCATGGTTCATCAACTAGATGGTCACAGTGTCAAAGCAAGGTCTGTGCGAAGCAAATTGTGTCTGAATAGATCGATCCGGGGGATTTGGCTTTTGTGAGTGAAATTAAATACGCAAATATATTGAGGGGGTCTTGATCTCGGCCCCGACTAGATGTTATTTTAATGGCAACGAACAGGTAACATCCTGTATCATCTTCAGCTCAGATAGACCTATGCGTTACAAGAGCGTGTTAATCATGGTAATGATGACCATAACACATTGGTACCGGGCATCATAACTGGAATACCGCTAGCCGCCTCTGTATGGGCTCATCTTGAAAAATTGTTTCTCCAGAAAGGAGGGCAGATCTCTGCAACTGGAAGAGACAACCGCAGTCTAGTTTCTCATTCGCGAAATATTACTGCGGCAGTCAAATTGCTCTTTGTTCTTGACGTACAAGTTGTACGTGAATTCCTGTAATTTGAGAGATTTGGAATGTAAGTCTATATGATTGTAACAAATTAATAGTCGAACAGTATATTCTGGATTTATTTAGTCTTTTATCTTTCAACAAGAAAATCTTACCGTTCAGAAATGTATCTCACAGCTATTATATTCAGGGTGATAACTGGTCTGTTAACACCACTACTCAAATTCAGGTCCCGAAACAGTCGAGGTGTAGATGTTGCCCCATCTCATTACTTACACATAAATATTGTTGCTCTTGTGCGTCATTGTACAACGTAACATGAGCGTGGAGAGCCGGGCGGACCGAGGAGTCTGAGTTCGAGTCCTAGTGGGGTCAAGAATTATTTCTTCTCGACGTCGTCCAGACCGGTTCTGGGGCCCACCTAGCCTCCTGTCCAATAGGTAACGGGGGTAAAGCGACCGGAGCGTGAAGCTGACCACTCACCTCCAATTAGTGCCGAGGGCAAGAAAACCTGGGTCTCTACTCCCCGATACGCCTTCATGGCGTTAGTTAGTTAAGAACAGGGACATTTTTTTCCTTTGGCGCTACAGCCCCAATTTGGACCTTGGCGTATCTTCATGAAGCTCCGTTTCACTTCGGTTTATTAGATCTTAGACATTCGGTATGACTCCTTGGGCGGTTTATCAGCTCGTGGCAAGGCCTCTACCTGTACACAAACACAGAAAACACACACAAACACTAAACATCCATGCCCTGAGTGGGAGTCGAACCCATGATCCCGGCTTCTGAGCGATCGAAGACATTGTATGCCTTAGACCGCTCGGCTACCGTGACCGGCCAGGTACAACTTTACCTTTACCTAAATGTAAGCATGACGTTTTTATGTGTGATGTATATCCGGTTCATTGAGATATTTGGAAACGCATTTGAGAAATTTGTGTAGGTGTGCTCCTGTGTGCACCCTCCTCTGCTCCCATGTCTAATTAGAACGAAAACAGTCGGGTTATTTTTCATTACATTTTAGTCATTGCGCAGCCGATGAAGGCCCTTCGGCGTGAAAAATTTGCAGAAGCTGCCAACGACAGCGACGTAAGAAGTCCCAAGTTTCTTTAGCGCCCAAAATGAGATTGGCTTGCGTTAGTCACATTACTCAAGCCGTCTCGCAAAGGAGTTTTCGTGTTGCCGTTTGCGATGTACCAACTTGAGCGACCATTCAACCGAGGAATTCAAAGCGATCACACGTTCAGGGCACTCGTCTTTTGCCATCGATTCAAGCTTTCATAGTCGCCCAGTGTAGTCCCGTGACATCCCTTCGAACATGTAACTCGCTTGAGAGATCGAAGTAAATGACCCGGACGCGGTTAGCAGGTGTGAAACGAGGCACGTGTCTCGTCTAGGCCTCTCAGCACAGTAACAGATCAGATTCCAGGCAATTGTCTTCTTTCAGATGTGGTGAGCGATGTACTCAGTTAATGCTTTCTGAATTCTTCTGTGCAACAGTGTTCTTTCGGCGCTTCCGTGTTGAGATGCTGCAGAAGCGGCCCTGTTCATTTCTCATTGTCTTTCTTTCGATCTGTAAGCACTCAGGAGCTGCTCACCGAATGTTTTTTTTTTCCATTAAAATTGATATTTGGAGTTTTATCAAAATTTGTCGACACATTCAGGTTTGATTAAAGCGGGACATAAATTACGGAAATTTTACATGAAGACCTGCATGCGTGCGTTTCTGCTCGCATCTCAAGCGAAACTTCGTGCCACAATTTCTGAATACTCTCTCCAGCGAAAAATTTTGCAGTAAAATATAAAATATAGTTTTATGCTCAATACAAATTTTTCGCAAGTATTGCGGTTTTAATATAGTTAATTAAACTGGAAAAGGGCGCCAGAATTTTTACTCTGTGTACATTTCCTAACTTGTTTTTAATACGTGTAGCTGTCATTCCGAGGTTTATTCATCCACGTTGAGTATAATCTCACCCCTCCGCAGTACGGATTATCCTGTAACTAAGAAAATTGAAGTTTTCATGCCAGTTCCCCCTTGTAGAGGTGCGCATTCATTGTAGTATGATCCTAGGTATACTACAAACCGGAAAGTCTCGGGTTCAATTCCCGACGAGGTCATTGGATTTTTCAGTTGACCTAATCCTTCCATCCGCACTGTGGCCTTGGGGTCGTCTTAGCCTCTAACAAGAACGAGTACCAGGAATCTTCCTGGGGATAAATGTCGGCCAGCGCGTAATGTTGACAAACTCACTGCCATCTGTGAACCGATTGTGTTGAGACTGGGAGCCTCGACGTCTCACAACCCTATGGGTCTCCAAGGCTTCTTGCAGAGATAGCCTCTGTATCGTGGAATGGCGTAGGGGGATGATTTCTTCATGACTGATTAGTAGATACTTGTTTCTCATGAGATGGCCGTGACCTATTTGGAAGTGGTATACAGACACTCACCTGCAAAGACCGAGGATGACTTTCAAATGCTCACTAAAATCTTCGGCAGATTCGAACCCTGTACCCCAAGAATATGTGTAGCGTTACCATTACATCAACATTCTCGGCCTGTTACGTACCAAGCTGCAGGTAATATATATGATTAAAATAAAAGCCTGATCCAAAACTATCCACTGCATCCTAGACCGCACGTTTGCATCATGGCGGACCGAGTCGTGACGAGTGGTCACGCTGCTACATGGAAAGAGCTTCACAATTATCACCACAAGCAACAAAACTAATTTGTCTGTGACGTGAATGTATGAGAAAACACCGTCCCAAAGAATGTGTAAATAGCAAAAAAGATTGAAACTTTTTATTTCCTTCTGTAACACTGTAAACCAAAGACACTAGTGACTTGTGGCTGTTCTTGTTCAGCGTACGCTCTCGTATAACGACAGGAGAAATGTACATCTGTTCATTTGTTTGTTATCTCTCACAAAACACTCACGGAGTCGTTCGTGCTAGTAAGAAATCTCGTATCACGAACTGCGGTTTGCAGTTTCCTGATAAGTCATGAAAGTGGCATTTGCCTTGCTGAACTGATGGATGTAGTAACCGGCTCACCAGAAATGTTGGGCCTGTTAAGAGAAACTGGTTCCCTCACCAGTGGCGATGACGTTTTTAGCGTCGGTTTATATGTGTTAACGAATTATTTATTACTATGTGTAAGGTGCAGAAAGCAAATGTGCTAATGAGGCTATATTTATTTAACTTTTCGAAACACGAATTTCTTCTAAATAGTACTTTAAAATTCAGTTGGAGCCTCAAAGGAAACACTTTGCCCCTAAATTACAAAGACCAACCGGTTATTGAAGTTTAAGGAAACAATTACTGTTTATTCTAAGAAGCGTATGAAATTCAAAAGTCCACTCTGTGTGCAATATGCTGAATATTGTAATGTTACAGCAAGTCGTGCTGTGAAGGGTTAAGTAATTTAAGACTCTTAAAAACGTAAAGAAAGCTATCCCTGTAACAGGCCGTGTAGGCCCTTAGGGTTGTGAGACGTCGAGGCTCCCACATTTCCTGGACAGTGGACTCACAGTTGGCAATGAGGTCAGCCTTACGCGCCGGCCGCCCTTAACCCTCCAGTGAGATTCCTGGTACTGATTTCTGTTAGAGGCTGTGTCGACCCCGGGGTCATAGTGCGGCCAGAATGATTAAGTCAATTGAAAAATCCAATGACCTCATCGGGAAGCGAACCCGCGACCTTACAGCTTATAGCATAATTACTCAAGCAACTACGCTACCGCGTGGCCAATTTCAGTTTCTTAGTAACATAAATATATTGTCGGAAGGACACAACAGTGATGTATGGTTCGCACTTAGACACATCTACCTGTATTACAGAATCCGGGCTAGTGAGCATGCTCAGGTGTGGAATATACAGCCCTAAACAGGCTAACCAGGCGTTGCCCCGTATCTTACGTTCTCACTGTTGAGCTAGCCTGAATCATAATGCGCATGCTGATGGCCGTTGTTTTGTCTGTTGCAGTCTGCATCGGGACAAACGGGCGGATGTCAGTTCCATCGAACCGGGAGCACCACTACAGGAATCTCAGGGACCGGTACACCAACTGCACATATGTGGACGGCAACCTGGAACTCACGTGGCTTAAAGACGAGAACCAGGACCTGAGCTTCCTGCAGTACATCCGCGAGGTCACAGGCTACGTGCTCATCTCGCACGTGGACGTGCCCCGAATCGTGCTGCCCCGCCTGCAGATCATCAGGGGCCGGACCCTCTTCAAACTGAACATCTATGATAAGGACTTCGCCCTTCTCGTGACACTCTCTAAGATGAACAACCTCGAGATGCCAGCGCTAAGAGGTGAGCTTAGGCAGCCGTACACGCTCTACTTAGTTACGTGCAAACTGAAGCACTACGTCATGAAGGCGTATGTAGGAGTCGGTGTATAGATCCACGTTTTCTTGATCTCGGCACTATTTGGAGGTGAGTGCCCAACTCCACGCCCCGGCCGCCTTACCCCCGGTACCCATTCGATAGGAAGCTGGGTGGGCCCCCAGAGCCGGTCAGGACGACGTGTGGAGAGGAGAAAATTCTTGACCCTACCGGAACTCCGACCCCGACCCCTTGTTCGTTGAGCCCGTAGCCAGTCGCTATGGTGACTGCGCTATCTTGTAAGAGGTGTTAATAGTCCGTTGTTTTTATTTCACTTTGTAAGGAGTGAGCGGTGATTTGAGGGGGGGGGTGTCTAAGGAATTCCTGGCCGATTTTGTTCCATTGGTTTGCATCGTTGAAATAAAGGTGTCCCAGTGTCCAAGCGCCACGCCAGGGTGCAAGTAAGTAAAGCCGATAGCGAACCGGAATAGCTTAGGCAGCACAGTGGCTACAGTGTCTAGACCGACAGCCCAATCTAATTAAACTGCAGGACAACATTTTGCACAGTCAGGCAAGAGGCGTAATGGCTAGTCAGAAGCCCAGCTGCTATATATTACAGTAAAAGTAAAGGTATCCCTGTAACAGACCGTGGAGGCCCATAGTGTTGTGAGCGTCGAGGCTTCCACATTTAGACAACCGGCTCACAGATGGCGATAAGGTTGTCAGCAGCCTTACGCGCCGGCCCCCCTTTACCCCCAGGAATATTCCTGGTATTCATTTCTGTTAGAGGCTGAGTCGACCCCAGGGCCTAGTGCGGCTGGAAGGGTCAACTGAAAAACAATCGCGTCATCAGGAATGGAACCCGCGACCTTCCGGCTTGTAGCATATTACACTGTCGCGTACCCCAGATATTACGGTACGTCAAGAAGTCTCTCAGTGAATCTGTAGCCCCGTTGGTACCCCCCTTTCGCTAACGATATCGAGTTGGCTGATTTGCGTTTCCCCATCATCCCTTATCTCTGTCTCCCTTCTTGCGCAGGCCAGAGGCCACCATAAAGTAATGATCGTACTGGAAAATTATGTCAGATTTCCTGGCCTTTCGATGTTTCTTTTGACTCTTTATACGCCTATATTTCATCGCAGTGTCTCCCATCTGTTTTTAGTTCTGGTAGAGTCGTAGGGGCAAGAGTAAAGAGACAACGTTTGGTTAGATGTGATCGCTTCTCATGCAATCGTGTCTCTCAGAGCTGAAGTGAAGGAACTGTTGCTTTTGGTGGTCACAGTCGTTAGACGTTTCATGCCTTTCGGTAATTCAGCCACTCGGACAACAAATTGTTATGACACTGGCTCCTGTGCCTGTTTGCTTGTCCGTGACTGTAAAATTGGCATCCTGTTATGCTATATGAATATGAAACTTGTTTCTAAACTTTATAGCGAAGTCGGCCCAGAAGTGTGAGTGTGTGTTCCCTTCTCGATGGAGATACTTGGGTCTTGTCCAGATAGAACTGTACTTATGTACCACTCTGATAATGTTTGGCTCAGTTCCATAATTATAAGACGAATTATTTAACAACAGTTTTGCTTTGGCACCTTTCTGTGATGACTCATAAGCATGTTTTCGCGTGTTTGTACCTATTAGGCCTACAGAGGCGGTCTGTTACTTTTGGGGGAAGAGTTTTGGGGCTGACTTCCCTTATTCTAGATGTTGTAATGTGGGTGAAGTACGTGGCCAGACTACATAATTGATATGATACCACAAGTAGGTTTATTTAGGTTTTTATTTGGAGGTAGTCGAAGCAAAACTGAATTCTGGCTGTCCATACTTCCGTCTTTCAAATTTTGACAATTTGATAAGATTTTGAATGAGATTTCATGTTGCTCTCGGTATTTTGTCATTACCAACTAACTAGGACCTCTACATTTCTCTTCTTATGTATGTAATCTTTGGGAACAGCATTCCCATCCGGTTTTGTATTTCCTGTGTCTGGCAAGCTGTAGGAATCCTTGACCGGACGACAGGCATATCGCGAGACACCTGCCATTGCACGAGAAATACCCATGCTGCTAGAGGGATTCGAAACTGCGGAAACAAGAGGCCAGTGCGGTACCCATAGAATGAACGTTCGTAATCGTTTCTTGCAAAATTTCAGAAGTTTTGATTAGTTGCACCCAAAGTTCCTTCTCATCCCTGAGAGAAGAGGTATCCGCTGCTGCACTTAGTTGTGCAGTGGGCTCGTAAAGTGAGAAAAATACATCAAGCTGCTCCGCCTGACAAAAGGCAGAAATTAATCCATCTAGCATCTCACTCTAACGGTTTAGTGTGATCGGTGGTCCATGATCTCAAATCTGGTGCTGAAACTTCCTTGTCCTGTAGTCTTGAGACCCATTAGTGTTAATTAGTCAGCCAATAGCAAATTTTCATACAAATACGAGTATTGGCGACCAATCATACGGCAGAATGTCGTATTCTTAAATACGAGCTCCAAAATACCAGATTCATGTTCACGATATA